GGATGGACATCCCCACATAGGCGCCTTCGGGCCTGGTAGGACATCAGGGTCTTGCCCCATGCGGCTGCACAAGGCGCGTGGATACTGGAGGGATGAGGTCCCTCGGCCTGAACTGAAACCGAGCCGTTGGCTCGCAGCTGCGATTACCGCTCTGAAGACGGCAGCTGCAAGCCCAAGAATCACTTGGGCCAAAGCGGCTTGAGCCAAAATGGCCACGGTGCCACCCGGGAGGAGGAAGAGGCGGAGGAGGAGGAGGAGGAGGAGGAGGAGAGGGAGGAGGAGGAGAGGAGGAAGAGGGGAGGAGAACAGCTGCCGATCATCGGCGCTCTTCGTTCGAGTGCCCGTTGTAGGATGGGCTGGCGGGGATGCGCGAAGCGTCAAGAATTCGTTTATAACTGGGGGCACACGCGCCGCCTGCATGGGGGCCTTGGTTTGGCGCTCGCCGAATGCTGTCTGAGATTGCCATCGAGCGCGGCCCACCCAGCTCTCACTTGACCATGCGCTGTTCGCAGCGCCTTCCACTTCCCCGTTAATGGCCTCCTTTAGCGCCGCGGTTGCTATCGCCCCGCGCGCGACGTCGCGCGTGTCATCTTTCAAGCCGAATGCGGATCTGGCCCTCTCTTCAACCGCGCTGTTCTCCAAATTAGCCCAGTGCTTCCGTCGCCTCCCTCGCGCTCGTCTCTCGGCCCCTTTAACCGCAAAAGCGGCGAGAACGATGGGCGCCCCCCATCCCGCGTTCACTTCGCGCCGCCCCCTCGCGCGGCCCCTTCCCCCCGCCTTGCCCCCGGCGCAGCGGGTGCGCCAGTTGCGGCCAGATAAAAGCGCGGCGCTGCGGATCTCAACATCATCTTCGCATGGCCTCAAAACGAAACGCGCCCTCCCGGGTAAGCCGGCGCCCTCCGCGACCAGAAAAATATCTTGCACTGCGCTGAATTCGCCGCCCCCGTCTCCATCGCCCCCATCTCCATCTGCCCCTGGGGTAACGAAGCTGTCGTTGGGACTTGCGGGCTTCGGTTGGCTTAATGGAATAAGCCCTCTGCTAAGATTCCCTACGTCGGGAAACCCTCAATAACTTCCTCCACGGGTCCGCTTGTTTCCTGTTCGCCGTGCCCCTGCGGGTACTTCAATGTGGAATTGGAGCGTTCCCCCCTCTGACGCACCGCCGTCCTTTGGCCGATAGCCTCGTGCCCCATGCAACTGCAGGGTCGCTCGTTTTCGGCTCAGTCGAGCGCGATCCTATTTCCCGCCTCCACCATTTCGCGCGCTGACCCCAATACTTACATTTTTTCAACGCCTGCTACTTGTGTGGACGTGCTCAGTCGAGCCCCTTGCTCGCTGTTTCCCGCAATCCTATTTCGGCCATGATTCCCGATGCCCGCGCCGCTGGCAGAGCTGCAGCGCTTTCGCGCTCGAGAGGCCGCGGAGCAAGTGGGAGACCCCCCCCGCGCTCGGCGGCCCCTGAGCGCGCCGGCGCCCGGGGCCGAAGTCACCGTTGCAGTTCTGCGCGGCCAAATGGCTCGCTTGTGGGGGTGGCGCCATCTTCTGGGCAGATTCCAGGCGCCTCTGCTAGATGTACTTCGGCGCGCTCCAGCTGCCAAATTGTTCGGCCTGCAGGCTCATTTGGACCCCCTGTTTGCCTGTTGGCGCTGTGGGGCCATCCTGAGCAACGGCCGCGCCCCCTGTTGCGCGGCGTAAGAGCCAATTTCTTCAGCCGATGATTTTTTGTCCTTTCACGGCGCGACTCAATGAGTCTAACTGTCTAGCCCAGGCGGGTCGCCGGCGGGATCGACCTCGCAGCGCCCCGGCAGGGGCTGTCCGAGCGAGATGCTGCGCGCCCCGCACGAACCCCCAGCTCTCTCTAACTCCAGTTTTGCTTCCTTGCGTTTTCCACCTCGCCGATGCCATTTTCGCTGCGCCGTGCCGCGACGTGCCGCTGATAGCCATATTTGTAACATTCGCGATCGCTTGCAGGCACGACCCCCCCCTGGCCCAGCTCCCGGGCCCCTTGCCTCCATGGTATGTCGCCTCTGGCTTTGCCTTGGCCCTGTCCTTTAACGTGCTGTCCGCGCGTCGTCTTACCACCTGTGCCTCGACTTTTTCCGCTGCTGCCCTTGTCTTTTCCTTTCCTGCAGTTCCCAGCTGCGCGTCCGAAGTAGCGGCGCTTGTAGCGCTTGACGTAGCGGCACTTGTAGCACTTGGGCCCCTTTCCACCTTCGCCGCTGCTGCCTCGACCCACTGCATCTACTTCCTCTCGCCAACGACGCGCTTCTTCATAGCGCCAGTCAGCCGCGTTGGACCACCAGCAGCCGTCGTCATCAACATAAGCCTCTCCGTTCCAGCCCTCGCCGGGGTCCCAGATGCCCCCCTGGTCGTCGTTGCGCCCACGAACGCCTCCGATGTCCATGACATCGTGGTTTCGCGTGTCAGCATCTAGTCTCATCGTGCGCGACCAATCCACACACTTGACGCACAATTGTTGGTAGTTTTCTGGCGTGAGAGAGTCGGGCGTTTTGAAGCGCCCCTGGTGCCACCCTTCAAACCAGTCTCCTGCACGGGCCGTGATGGTTCGCAGCGCAGATATGCAGAATGGGAAGTTTAACGAACACGCTGGGTCGTATTTCTCCAACGTTTCCACTAATGCCGCCCAGCGTTCTAACAAGATGGTGGCATACCCGATGTGTTTCGATTTGTCCGGGTTCATTACTAAGCTCATTTTAACCGACAGAATCACCCCAGTGATCGCGGAGTACCACTGTCATATATATGTAAACATATATATATATATATATATGTATTCTGGTGCGCTGGCAATGCATCGCCTTCCCTGAGCCTTAGTTAATTTCCCTCGGGGCCCTACTCCCTCCAGTTTGGTATGCAGGATGTACCGCATGTCCTCGTCTAGATTGTGTACCAGTTCTTTGGTACTACTGAATTCTCTTTCGTCCTCGTCCTCATACGGTTTCACCGCGCTGGCTTTCGCGTGTTCTGGCGCCGTTAACCGACCGCTGAGAACTCCAAGCGTGGCGTCGTCATCCTTGTCCTTCAACGCCCCGCCCATGGTATCCAGCTTGCCGCCTATTTTGAAAACGCCTTCTGCTACTGTGGGCTCACCTACGCCAAGGCCTTCAACAGTTTGTCATTCCACTCGCGGAATTTGGCTCGGTCGCCAGCGAACGCTTTGAGTTGCTGCGTGGCGTTGTATTCGCTAACATACTTCTAATGTCCTCTTACCTGCTTCTGCATCCCGCTATCGATTCGGATACCTTCGCTACCTGATCCATCGTGTGGTTTTGCACGTTCGTTTGGTCCTCCAGGCTCTCGATTGTTAATTGAAGTTGGTTTGTCCCTCCTTCTGCGTACATGTTACGGCTCACGATGCTGAGGAATAGGGGCTCCATTGTCTGGGTCGTCAGTAACAACCCGCAGTCCATAACGTCCCTCGTTTGTGACAGTCCTGACCCCAGCTGCGGCCTGCATCTCGATGAACTCGGTATCCCCTGATGGTTAGCCCCCAGTCAACACCACGTTCACGTAACTGCAAGTTCCGCGTAGTACGGTTTCACACAGCTCGCTGATACTTGTAAGATTTAAGTTGATCCATCGATCTCGGTCCTTGGGGTGTGTTTAGCTCCCAGGGCGGATCTACTGGATGATCGACCGCTGCTGTCGCGGCTGCCATTAACCTCGCTCCGCTGCCATGCAAGTTCCCGACGATGCTTTGCACGGGGACGATTGCTACTGCTATCCGCGGGCGAAGGGCGACGGCTCCACGGTTCAAACGGTTGAGCAAAACAGCGTCGGCAGCGACAGCTGCTCGACCTAACTGTACCGCGATGCGCCCAACCCAGTTGCAGGGCCATGTTCTGACACCTCTTCCTCGTCATCCTCCTCGTTATCATGTTCGTCATCCTCCTCTTCCTTGCCCTCGTCGTCCTCCTCGTCCTTGTCATGTGCTTCCTCTTATTCCTTCTTCCCGTCCTCCTCCTCCTCCTCGTGCTCTCGTCGTCGTCAATATCCTCCTCTTCCTCCTCCTCCTCCTCCTCACCATCCTCCTCCTCCTCCTCTTCCTAGCCCTCCTCCTCCTCCTCCTCATTTTCCTCGTCCTATTCCTCCTCTTCCTCCACATCCTCAATTCACCAAGGTTGCCCGCTTTGATTCACTATGTGCGCCTCTTCCTCCCATCTCCCGTCAACTTTCATGGACAAAGTTTCTGAATGGCTGGTGGGATTACGCAAAGCGTGGACATATGATAGTTTCCCCGTGTGGTTCCATGCTGTTCGCTCCCCACACCCGTTGGCCGAACACGTTTCACCTGCGGACTTCGAGGGCCGAAAGGGGCCCACTCACATCTCCGCGAGAGCCCCGAGCTGACCCAGGAGGGTCACTGGAAGGACCCAAGCGCCAAAGAGGCCCCCTAAACGGCCCAAGGGGCCCCCAGACGGCCCGACGCCACGAAGAAGTAACCCGATAAGTCCCAAGAGGCCTCCAAGAGGCTCCACGGCACCCCCAAGGCGCTCTCCAGGAGGGCCTCGAACAGCCGAAAACAGAAGTCTCAATGTATTTCCTATGTTATCGTTGCCCTTACTCTTCGATCGAAGAGCGGTCCACTTGCGGCCCTCAAGGTCCCAAAGGAGCCCACGGAGAGTCCAAAAAGAGCCATCAGTGGGCCCAGGGCGGCCCCAAGAGAGTCAAAAGCTGGCCTGAGCGAGCCTCCAGAGGCTCCACAGCCCCACGACGGCCCCAAGAGACAGACTCCCAGACGGCCAAGAGAGCCCCAAGACGGATCCATAGGGCCCGAAGATGGCCCAGAGGGCCCCAAGGGACCCCCACGACCGCCACACGGGAGTCCAAGACAGTCCCAGGACAGGCCAAGTAGTCCCATTAAAGTTCATCTGAAAGTGGAAAAAAGAGGCGTCACATGTGACGGCCTTCTGGGCGGTTCTCGAAGGGTCGCCAAACAAAGTGCTTCGCTGGCATGGCGGCGGATTTGACGCAAGCACTTGGATAGATCAGGTCGAACTGCCCCGAGAAGCCCTTGCTGTTCAGCAGATCGATCAGACGGGCCCGGGAAAAGGTGGTGGGCAGGTTGCGCATCATCACGGTGGTCCGTTGGTCGCTGCTCGATCCGTCGGCTGATTCCATCTTTCCTATCTCCGGCTCTGGGACAGACCTGGTAGCCTTGACGCTGAGGGGGCTGCATGGGCTGCCCGACCTCTGCTGAGGATGCAAATTTCCAGTCGAAGCCGCCTGCTGACTGTCGTCCTCGGCGGAGCTAGAACACTCAGAAATAGTACTGCTAGAGAGGAAGCTCTGGGTGTGGACCCACATTGGGAACAACGGATCCACGACATCCTCTGCATCCCTGCTGTTCCACGTATCCTTTCCGACCGATCCACAAGAAATGAAGCCTGGCGAATGAAGCCGACCGACCTTCATAGGTTCCTTGCGAGAGAAACCCCGCTCTGTCTTGGACAGCAAATCCAACCCCGATGCGTTCTCAAAAGTGCGAGCCATTTGCGCTGGGTTGGGACTGCTGCAATCGATACAGACTTAAGCGTAAATTGATGGCAAAATTAGCTTAGCCAGAAAGTGATCACTAAGGCGTGAGCCAAACCGACTTGGGCAACAAATGCTTCAAAGAGATCTGATATCCATCACGGCTCACACCACGTGGACCGTCCACTCTGGAACGATCGCTGCAGTCCGACCGCGCAGGCTCGCCCCACATCGGCCAGCTCTTGGCCACCCTCGGTGCTCGACCTGGAACGCCCGCGGCGGGGTCGCCGCCGCGCCGACCGGACGCGAGCCCACCGTCTTCCCAGGCCTCCTGCACCATCCTGGGGCCTCTCGCCTCCCGGGGCGCACCCTCCGCTCCTCCCCGCCCGCATGGCCCGCTCCTCCCGCGAGCACAGCGCCAAGAACCTGCGGCCCGTCGCGCTGCCCAGCGGGCCGACCGGCAGCGGGGACACGAAGCCCTCTGGCGTGAAGTGCGCCCTGAGGGCCTCCGGCGCCGCGGCGTCGCAGGGCAAGGACGGGCAAACTAGGTGCTGTAGGTGCTGGGTTCTGATTTCTGCGGCAGCTTCTTTCCGAAGCAGGAGCTGTCTTCACACAGAGGCTCCTTCTGAGAATGCACAGCCAGATTCACAGACCAACCTCGCCTGTGATGTCGTATCGTACCATGCTGTCACGGGCCGCACCGTTTCACCGCCCGCGGACAGAACTGACAGAGCCCGCTTGGCTTGTTAGGATGGGTGTCCTTTAGCTGTCTTTGAGTTTCCCCAGGGCGGACCCCTAGGCTTCTTGAGAAGTCTTGTTTTCTTGTTTCCCCGATCTTTCCACGTTGCGAACACGTCTGAGCACAGGGCGCCTCGTGCCATGGGGCTGGAAAACACCAGAGCCCTGGTTGGCCATCTGCCAGGGGCTGCCGCCGGCAGTTGCGACACGGTGTGGAACGCATCTCATGCACGCGGCGGTGAGGCGAACCTGCGCTGCCAGATGCAATCGTGTCAGACATGGTGTGGTCTAGCGTATCGATCATCGAAGGAGTAGCGCGCAACGAGCACGGCCCAAATCACCTGAAAATCGGCCCCCGACCCCTCCCACATGGGCTCCATCCTGGCCCGCTCTTCGAGGCGGATCCAGCCGCGGCGCGAGGGAACGCCTCCAGAAGGCCCCAAGAGAGCGAACAGCGCCGGTGAGGGCCGCCGTTGTCTCGGCTGGCCCTCCTCCGAATGGCAAGGGGCTCAGAAGGTCCCCATTCTGGGAGGCATGGCGGCGCGCAAAAGGGGGAAGGGGGGGGGGGAAGGCTTCTTAGAAGCACCCGTGCTTCTCAGAAGGCGCCGTCCCTGGGTGCGGTCCCTGCCTGCACAGACGAGGCCAGCGCCTTCTGAGAAGCAGCCTCCTTCCAATAAGCCTGCCCCCGATCCCCCTGCCCCCCCTTCCTCCTCCTCCTCCTGCTCCTCCTGCTCCTCCTCCTCCTCCTCCTCCTCCTCCTCCTCCTGCTCTTCCTCCTCCCCCTCCTCCTCGTCCGTAGCCATTTTGGCTCAAGCCGTTTCGGCCCTGGCCCCATTCCTCCAGGGCTGCCCTAATACCTTTACGAGGTGCTTGAGGAACTGCCGTGCCCCTGTGCAGCCACAGGTTTTACGGTTGACCAAAGCTCGGGCGAATGACCATGAGACGCCAGTCCGCTCGCCCAGCGAGCAGCGGTCGCTGGGCGGCGAATCAGGGGACTCGCCTTTGGAGCCGCTGCCGTGGGTGCCACGCTTGCGAGTACAACGACCGCCTGGACCAGGAGAAGCCGATCTGCCCGCGCTGCAATCGGCCCATGAAGCTGCACCTCGGCCGCTCGCGATCGCCCAGCGTCGTCCGCTTCGGCACGGTCGAGATCTTCCCCGTGGACGGCGACGACGGCCGCAGCGACGCCCAGGCTGAGGTTCGCGTCGGAACTGCCAAGCAGAGCCCACTCGCCAAGCACCTGCAGCACGCGCTGGCCGTGGCCACGGATCCTGCCTTGAAGGCCATCCTCAGCGCGCAGGTCCACCAGCTCCAGGCCCAGGACGCCAACAGCGGCATGCACCAGGCCACCGTCATCGAAACCCTGCGGAAAGCGGACAGTTCCTACCGCGCCGCGGTCAACCACCACAATCAGCTGGTGGCCAACGTCGTCAGGCTCCGCACCAGCCTCCACGCGGCCGAGGCCAAGGAAAAGGACGCTGCGCTCGCGGTCGCCAAGGCCGAGCACGCGAAGCGCAAGGCTGCTGAAGCCCTCGCCGTCGCCGAGGGGGCGGCTGGGAACCTGTCCAAGGAGGCCGCCCCGCAGGAGGATAACGCCGCCGCCGCGCCGTTCACCGTCTCCTGGGGCGCCGACGTCTTTGATAAGATTGCCGAGCTCGAGTTCACGGAGGCCGAGCGCGCGGAGCCGACGGCGGTCCAGTCAGGCCTCGAGGAGCTCAAGCTGCAGCTCGCCACAAAGGGGCCGCAGGTCACGGCCCTCATCCAATTCGCCCAGGCCGTCAGAGCAGCTCAGGAGGCCAGCTACCAGAAGAAGCAAAAGGGCGAGGACGGCGCGGCTGCTCCCCCGCCTGCCAAGGCGACCTCGCCAGGCCCTGCTGCTGCCGGCACGCCGCCCAGCGCCGCCGACGGGGGCGCCCCGCGGGCGGGCGCGGGCGAAGGAGCGGCCGCCCCCGCCAAGGAGCCCGAGCTTGACCCGAAGCTGGTCGAGGCCGAGGCGGCCAAGCTCTCCGCCGCCAAGTTCGCCGCCCAGGCCGCGGCGACAGGAGCAGGCGGAGCAGGCGCTGCCACCTCGCCCAAGGCAGGCGCCGCCAAAGGCGGAGGTAAGGCTGGAGGAGCCCAGGCCCAAGCCACGTCGCATTGACTAGGTTCGGCGGCCACCGCCTCAGGGTCCACCGCCACCGAGGCGGCCAGTACCTATGCGAGTTCGGCCACTACCTCGTCATTCCACAATAACATCACCTGCATGGGCGAGAAGGCTTTCGAATGGATTTCCGCGCGGCAGGACGACTACATCGGCCTCGTCGAGACACGCATCTCTGAGCAGGGCACTTCTTCTCGGCGCGGTCGTTTGCGCGGCATCCAGAAGGCTTTTCGCCGACCCTGCTCGCCCTTCACAGCGTCTCGCTGAAGGGTGGAACGATTCTGCTGGACCCATTTCCGCTGTAGGGCACGCTGATGAAGGAGGAGAACAGTATCTACCCAAAGGCCATTTAAATACCCATCCTCTAGTAGAGGGAGTCCAGTGCAAAGAGCTCCAGCGCCTCCCCTCCTCCTCCAGCCTCGACGGCTTCATTCCTGTTGTTCTCCACCTCAAAGACTCGTTCCCTAGTGGCGGTGTTTTTTGTTCTACACATTTTGCAGCATTGGCCTGCGAGGGCCCAACGTTCAACGTTTCAGGCGTCTTGGGGGCCTTCTCCAGAGCCCCCAGCCTCCCTGGATCGTTGTGGGTGATTCGAATCTCAGCCCCGAGGCCCTAGCTTCTTCTGGCCACCTCGCACTGATCCAAGCACAGTATGCTTGCGACCTTGGCGGCGGACGTAAGCCATCGCATTTGAATTTCGTTGTTCATAGCGCTGCTGCCCGCCCATGCATCGCCGCTCTCGATCCTGTTTTCGATTTGCCGTGGAAGCCACGCGTAGGTTTGCGTATTCAGCTAGTATCTTCTGGGCAACAGTTGCTCGCGCGCGTGCGAGCCCTCCCTCCGAGATTGCCGCTGGTCGTCAAGCTCCAGAAGAATGCCACCCCGGGAGCCAAGGCCAGCCGCGCCAAGGTATCCCGCGCCGAGAAGCCAGCAAACGCCCAGCTTCGCCGCGAACAGATGCGCACCACCCTTTGTGGAGACTTCGAGGTCCAATATGACCCCGACGTCGCGTCCACCAGTGCAGGCGAGGACTCATCCGCTGTCGAATCCGACGGCCACGAGTCCGACGAAGAGGATCCGTGGGCCGACGAGACGTGTTTCAGGCTAGCCGTGCCAGCTCCAGTCTCGCAAACTGCCGCCCGCGTGGAGCCAAAAGTGTGCGCGCCTCGTCCTTCTTCTCACGCCAGCTGCGCGCTCTCTGATGTCGTTGCTAGTCGCGACCCGCAAGCCAGGGAGGAAATGCCTGAAATTTCGCAGGCCACCGCCCCCCTTGATCACGGCCGCGAGTCAATTTCAGTCCAGCCAACCTTCTCACAAACGCTCGCTCTCCGCATCTGCTGCTCAATTTGTTCCGCATTCGGCTTGCCATCGATCCTAAACAGTCGAACAGTCAGACAGTCGAGATTGGAATTTGCAAGCCCAGCGTGAGAACCCCCCCCCCATGGGCCTGTTATCTCCCCAAGGAACCAGCCAGCCTCTCAGATCAGTGATATTTTCATGAGCCCGACGCTTGAAATTCTAGAATCTGTTTGGTGTGCCCACAGAGAACAAGTCTGCGTTCTGCCACCCCACCTGACTCGGCCTGCCCCCGCTGCCGCTGCCGCCGTAGCTTTTCGGGTCGAGCCTGACATCTCCCTTCTGCTTGGCCAACTCTACGGGTCCTGAGGGCCACCGTGGAGGCCTCCATTTGCGCGCGTCACCATATTCTTTTTACTGGCGCCATCAGAGCAGAAGGCGCCCAGTTCCAGACTACAGTCGCTCGGGACCTCCAGCGTCGACGGAGCGCGCCTCTGGCCAACCTCAGGAGCACTCGGTGGACCAGACTACACACAGTATCGCAGGGCATCTATCGGCACCGAGCTCATCATAACGGATTGCATCAACTACAGCTGCTCTGCGCCGCGCTTGGACATCTGGCCCAGGCCTCGCCACCAGCCGCTGTCCGCGTCATCGGCCAGAAGGACGACCGCAGCTGGGCCGACAGGACTCATTTCCTACAGTCTGTCGAGCAGTCCGACGACGGCGTTGCGGTCAACTTCGCCGCCAGGGCGAGTCGCCTGGCACGGCGCGCGCAGCAGCGCGCCATCAGGAAGTCCCTCCGCGACTTCCGCGACTGGGCGGTCACCGGCGGTGCCATTGGAACCTTGCATCGATCTCTACGACCGCAGCCACAACCAGCAGAGGTCACGCGGGCCGACGGACACGCCATCATGCACCCCAAGGACCTCATCGACCGCAAGGTCGGCAGCTGGCAGCAGCACCGGCCTAGCCGAGGCCCTCCAGCGGGTCGTCGAGCACGTCCACGAGTGCAGCCTACCACCCGTCACTGGTGACCAGCTGCACCAAGCCCTTCGACGACTCAAAGCCAACGCTGCCCCTGGCACCAACCGACTTCGACCTCCCGACCTCATCCGACTACCACAGACCGCCCTCGACGAGCTCGCCGCCATCCTCAACGCCGCCGAGCGCGCCCAGACTTGGCCACGCCAGCTCCTCAGCGCGCTGGGGGCCGCGCGGGCCAGGAAGGACAACGGCGACCGCATCCTCGGCATCATGACTACCATTGCCAGATAATGGTCCATGGCACGCGAAGTGCCCGTGCAGGAGTGGAACAGGGACTACTTCGCCCACTGGGGCGCCATTGCCAAGGGGAGCTCCGCCTTCAGGGAGGCCTACGAGCGCTGCCTCCAGGAGGACTGGGCACCCTCAAGCGCGCGGCTTACTCGACATCTCCCAGTTCTACGACTCCATCCACTGGGCCACCCTTATCGACGAGGCCCTCGACCTCAACTGCCCACCCGACGTCCTCGGCCTCGAGGTGCCCCAGTGCACCGCGCCCCGATACCTCGCGCAGAGCGGAGCTTTCGCCGAGGCCATCATGCCCACCAGATCGGTGGTCCAAGGACTCAGGTCGGGCACTCGATTCGCCAAGATCATGACATTCAACGCGATGCAACGCGTCGCCACGCTGCACCCCGTCGCCCGACGCCGCATCTGGGTCGACGACATGTCCCAGCGCTTGCAGGCCAGCCGACTGACCATACGGCGACGCATGGTCAGCGTCTTCCTCGGCCCCTGCAACGCGCTCCAGGATCAAGGACTCAACATCGCCAAGAAGAGCGTCATCCTGTGTGCGTTCCATCAGGGCGCCCGACACATAGCACGTGCCACGCAACGCCATGGCTACCAAATCCAACTCAAGCACCAGGCCAGCTACCTCGGCGTCGACTTGGCGCGCGGTGCACGACACGCCCGCAGCGCAGCCACAGCGCGCACCAAGAAACGCCAGAGTATGCGCGCCAAGATCGCCCGCATCACACGGGCCACTAGACGGTACCGTGCATCGGGCAAGCTTGGACTCCAAGGCGGACTCGCTGCGGTCACTTATGACCACCAGCTATGGCGCCCACAGCACACGCATGACTACCTACCGTCGACGACTAGAAGACGCCATCGAACCACGACTGCGAGGCAGGTGCCTCGCTACCGTCCTCGACCTCCGTGCGGACAGCAACGACCCCGCACGGAAGCTGCCGCGCGACGCCTTCGTCGCCTGGCCCACCACGTGGACGCAGAGCCCTGCACTACAGCCTTCCATCGCCATCACATGGAAGCATGTCGTCGCCCATTTCCGCACGCTACCGGCCAACCGCCGCGTCAGGCACACCAGAGGACCGCAGTCCACCATCATCCACTACCTCATGCAGTACGGATGGCACCCACACCAACCTGACCGGTGGACGCCACCGACCGACATTTCAGCAGATGGAGCGGCTTGGGAGTTCAACGCCACACAGCTTTCTGGTTACGCTGATGCGGACGTACCACACCAGCTGCTTCGCGACATCGATGCCAGCATCCAACACCAGCTTTGGCAGCAAGCCAGTCTCCACCATGGCGGCGAAGGACTACATCCTGGTGTCGACAACTACTCCTACAGGCGGCTCATCAAGCACCTGGAACGACTACCACAAAGAACACGCATCGCCAACCTCATGCCCACTATCGCCACAGGCGCTATGTGGACACGGAAACGGATCGTCACTGAAACAGAATTACCAGACGTCACCATTTGCTGCCCCAAGTGCCAGACGGCAGACGGAGACGACTACCACCGTGCTTGGGA